GTGCAGATACAGACACACGGGTGGACTCACATAGCTCCTGGCAGCGATAAGAACGGGTATGCATGGGTCGTGTCCCAGGACGCTTATCGAGTGTTGATTTGCCTTATCGATCCAGCTAATCGCCAACAGGACTCATTCCCATCCTCCTCCTCCGCCGATAAGGAGGCAGTATCGGGTATCATTTCGGAGTTTTTCCCTTCGGTTCGGCCTGGCACTGTGTTTTTTCCACATATGGCACTATCGGATTGGAGCTGTCTTTACCTTGGTCAAGTGTTACCTTGCCCAAAACGTGAGCGTTGGCAAACTGCTCCAATTATTGTGCGAATTCGCTTCGCTCGATTTTGGATGGCCAAAAATATGTCTCATGTGCTGGAAGTGCTTAAAGCGCTGCTGTTGCAACATTCGAGGCATTCCTTGCTAACTCAGTAAACGTGAAACGGCGAAGCCAAGAACAGGCCCCCAACAATATACCCCGTATCTTGGATGTGTGCCCAAGAGCCCGGGTAATTAGGTCATCGGTTGTGGTTGTGACAATTTCACGAAACGCACAAGAAACGAACTGCGACAGCAGAAAACTTGGATGGCAAATGACAATGCGCCGAGAACGTCGTTCCCCGAACATGCGCTTTCTCCACCCCTCTTCTTTCAACAAGACCTAGTTTACGAGCTAGTGGGTCTATTTCCAAAATATTATTTTGCCTGGAATCTGGATTATAAGCAGGCACATTGGGACGAAGGAAACCAAGCTGGTAGTCAATTGGTCTTGTCCGCCCGGAGTTGTCGGTCCATAGGGCAGTTCATCGCAGTCTTCTCCACTGCCTTCGTCAAAACCCTCCAAAACCGCTCCGGCCGTTATATTATCATCGAATCCTTCTTCGTCTTCGTCTTCGTCATCGTCTTCTTTGGGCTGCCTGACCATACTCAGCTGCTCACCCGATTCACCATACCTGTTCACCATCAAATCTGACTGGGCATCCAAGGATATTTGGTACTGAGCGGGCAAAGGAATCGCTTGAGCAACAACTACGCCCAGAACCTGATCACTCGAAGTGTTGTAGACTATAGAGTGAATCGTACAAACACCAAATCGACTCACAATTAACAGGCAGCTTAAGACCACACATCCTCCATTTAATTCCATCGGTCCTAAATTTTGAAACATTAATTTTGTTGACCTTGCCGAAACTTTGACAGTTCGAAAGAGAATAGTAGATCTAAATCATAATGTATTATATTTGTCATTCAGTAAAACATAGTGACGCTTAAAGTCGTCCTCGAAGTCATCCTCCTCTTCAGATTCCGCCTCACCACCCGCCGCCTGTTTCTTGTGGTAGTACTTTCTGTAGCCGATCTGCTGGAGCGGATACTGCGGGATCATGTACTCCATCCGCTGGTGCCGCCTTAGGGTGCACTCCTGGAATTCGCGGAAATCCGTAAAGTTGGTCGTGTGGCACTCCTCTGACCTGCCGTAGACATACAGCTCCCGGCGCAGCTCCATCCAGATGGTACGGTGTTCGAAGGAGACGTTGTGGATCATCCGGTTGAGCCACCAGAAGACTTTCGGATAGTTGTAGATGGTGGATCTGCCAAGGCACACGGTGCTTAGTTGGCCGGGATTGGGATCGTACTTATGGAGGGGCTCCTGGTCGACGCGGTAGCGAACCGCCTGGTGCTTGTCGCCCTTACCCTTGGTGAATCGGGTGTCCATGAACTGATTGCCGTACGTCACGCCCCACTGATTGTAGACCCAGTTTCCGTGCCGATCGGTCTGCATGTTGGGCACTTGGAGAGTTAGTTCCTTGACTTCATAGCCCTCGAATTGGTTGTCCCCTGCTTTTTTGCGGATCCCTTTTCCTCGGAAAGCAGGTCGTTTTCTTTTACGTTGATCCGCTGCGCCTTCTATAGATACGAATTATAATATAACTTTACCCCAAAACAATCTGATATTCTTATTGTTTAATAATTTCTTAGGTAGATCTAAGTTTTACCTGCAATTTTCCCTTGGCTCTCCTCCTTCTTTAAACTTTCCTCAGCTTTAGTCACTTCTTTTTCTTGAGTCTTTTTCCAAAAGTTAGGAAACTTTCTGTTGGCAGGTGGGCGGGGAAATTCCTTTTGGGTTGTATTTACGGCACCCATAACCCTCGACGTTAAAATGGACCGGTGGTTACCAAAAAGCCGAAGGCCCAAACCCGACTTTGGTTTCGATTTCACTGCCAATTTTTTTGCCAAATTATAGAGATCACTTTCCTGAATGTGCGAATCTACCAACGATGTCGTCATTCTGTTCCATTTACCGTGAGGTCGAGTAAAAACTGCCTTGGTTGTGTCTATTTTATCGGGAAGCTTCGCTGCTACCATTGGCATTGGTTTTCCAAAGAGACCAAAGACGCCAGCCGAATCTACTCCCAATTTTTGTCCAACTCAACGGAGGGATTCACCAAAGTCCTGTTTCGTTTATTGTCCGGAAAAGCAAAAGCCACGCTTTTCTCCACGGGCAACGTCTTTGGGATCCAGAGATTTAGCATAAGAAAACAACAAAGAGTCTCTACTTACATTGAAGAACCAACAAAGCCCCAAAAATACCAGCAAATTTAGCTTCAACATTTTCCACAATAGCTACTAAAAATGACCAATTTTAAGGATTCACTGAATAAAATGTGAAAGAGAAGTCAAGGTGTGCTTATATCGGAGGAATGAAACCAAGTGATTATGATCTTATAAATATTGTAAGCGGAAAAGTGATTTAAATATAAAATAAAACATTATCGTGGTTTACATCATATGTAATTGTTTTGTTTAATGTTTTCAATATAATAAAATAGGAGCACAGATTTATTAAGGAACTGGAATCACAACAAAATCCAAAAAGTATGAACTACATCTGGTGCCTGGGATACTGAGGGATCATGTACTCCATCCGCTGGTTGCGCCTGAGAGCACACTCCTGATAGGGCAGCCACTCGGTGAGGTTGCTCATTCGACACTCCTCCGACCTGGCCAGCCTGAAAAGCTGCCGGCGGAGGGATAGCCAAATGGGTCTATGGGAGTGGGGCGACCGGTACATTTTGCCCGTCAGATAGTTCATGATTCGCGGCTTATTGTAGATGGTCGAGCGGCCCAGGCACACAGTGCTTATGCCCTCGTCATCGGGATAGTAGTTCATGCCGGGGTCCGAATCGATGTGAAGGCGGGGCATGCGGCTCTGGTGGTTCACGTGGAAGCGGGTGTCCTGCCACACCTTGCCGAAAGTGGCGCCCCACGGATTGTAGACCCACTGGCCAAACTTGTCTTTCTTGTGAATGGAGATGGTCAGCTCCATTGGACGTGCTGGCGGACCTGTCGTTTCCTCTTTGTCCCCTTCTGCCCGAAACCTAACCATTTGGGTGGATTTTTTGGCGTTCTTGGTCTTCTTTTCCTTGGGCCTTCTCGGACTCTTGGTCCTAGATCGCATCTTGGCTGGGTTGCCATAGCCATCGTTTACCGGAAATAAACGAAGACCCGGAGCCAATCCGCCCAGAAATCTCTTCATGCGGGCTTTGTTGAAATCCTCATCGGGAGCCGGGGCTAGCACCTCATATGGCGGCGTTACTTCTTTCGATTGCCTTGATTCCCGTGTTGGCTCGGCAACGGGGCTGGCCGAGGTTTTAAGTTGATCCTGCGAATAGACTTTCAATTAACTAGAACACCAAACCAAAATTGGTTCTTCACTACCATAGCTTCGAAATCAGCATAGCTGTTAGTTGCTTTTTGGGACAAAGACTCCAATGGAATGGGAGAGGCATCCAGTCTTAGGATCTTTTAAGGATTAGGTTTAGTAACAATAACGATCGATTTTTGTCTACCATGGACTTACGTCAATCAAACAACAAACACATAAGCTAATGGACAACCATTTCTGAAGCATTTTTCAAATTTTCACAGTGAATTTTTAACACTTAAAATTTTATTATATTTTTTTACTGCGAAGAGATCGGAAACGCAAGGCTAAGGTGAGAAGAAATATAAAATCCCTTTAAATACCATTAATAAATTAAACACATTTGTATTAAACACAATACTTTTGGTTTTTTTTATCGTTATATTTTTTATAAAATGTTTGTTAAAGATATATTTACTGAGCTTATGATCCGAAATCGGTAATATTAAGTTTTATCAGCCTTTTATGAATACAAACTTAAATCAACCACTACAATCTCGTATAATAACGAGGTATGGTCGCATTAGAATGGCTGAAAATGACTGTAAGGGTTGTGTGATTGGCTCAACCCCGGGTCGCAGTCTATCCAGTTTGTTGTAATTGACTTTTTGCCTCGACTTTCAATGGCCAGCGCTGCGAAGAAAGATAAAATGCCCGAGCGAGAGCTGCCAAAAGTAACTGGAACTGGGTAACCGACCCATACAAACCACACTCGCACATACACTTACTCGCAAGTCAGCCACTTGGCCAACACACAGAGCCACTTGGCTAAAATGAGCGGCTCAAGGTCATCACGCCACACAAAAAGAAACAAAACGCAGACGGAGACGGAGAAAAATGCTGCAAATCTCTTGGCGTCTAACTGCAGCCAAAGTCGCACTTGCAGTCGTCGCTCGATGGCCTCGAATCTTGAATCTTGAATCTCGAATCCGCTGCTGCAGCAACAAAAGCAACAGCCCAGCAGCAACAGCAACATCAGCTCCCAGCGGGGCAACAACAAAAGCGGGCTTACGAAATCACGAGCCATTTGAATTGAATGAGCCACGCAGATCGTGGGTTTCTCAGGGGGAGGTTGCGAAGTAGGGAGTGGTGGCCAAGCAAGGCTCATACACGGCGAGAAACACTTAGTCATCACGTTAAAATTCCATTGTACTTCAATGAGTTACAATACAATACTAGTGCATTTTACTAATAAATAAGTAGAAGTTTTACCTTTTCAAAAGGTATCCTTACCATGGTATAAAAGTACAACTCTTAAATTGTATCATCATTATCATAATGATGTATGGGGAGGGCTTTATATCTTTGGTATATTCCTAATACAATTATAACCGATTATAAAGATACTATTTTCTCTCTGCTTTAGATGGAGTTATAAAGTCACAAGCCCTCTCACACTCGCACACTTCTAAACAGAAACAGGCACTCATACTTGGGCACCAAAAGCTTGGCGCTTGAAAAATTCACACAGTGTTTCAATTGCACTTCACAAGGGAACCTCTGTGTATCTGCGAGATACATCTCTCGATCGTTACAAAATTGTAAGACTTCCCATCCCGTCCCCCTCGCCCTGTCTGTCCACTGTCTCTCTCCCTTTTCGCCGGCTAGTCCTACATACAAATCGATGGAATGCTAGTCGAACACTGATCAAATAAACCGCAAAACTGCCCATGCCCAAAGCCAGCTATGATCATCAGCAGGCATCAACAGCATCATCAACAACATCAACATCATCAGCAGCGGGTAGAGAAACAACCAAAACCGAGTTTTGAGATCGGAACTTTGAATGCCCTGCCGTTTTGATATTACTTAGGATATTTTATGTACTATATGGTCTGTATGGGATGATATAAATTGCATTAGAACAATAAGTATTTTATAGCCACCAAAAACGGTTAATACTTTAAACTTCTGGTCATTTCTATTTTGTCCATAATGATCTTCAGTTCCCTACTAGTATAAATCCCTTTTCAAATGCCTATTTTGTAAAAGATCATGAAAATAAATTAGCTGTAGCGGGGGTCGGACTGTAAACCCCCAAAGTACTCAAATTTTTTAATGATGTCGTCCTAAGCAATGGAACATATAATCACTACCTTGTAGAGGCGAGTAATCATACCCTGTGGCGAGGGTATGGCAACTTTGTCGCTTTGTGGGCGGCATCAAAGTTGCCGTTCACTTGCAATTGCGATCCGATGGTGGGCGGCGTGGAGCGGCTCCTCTGGATTTCAGATGGTGGATGTGGATGTTGATGGCGACTTGGCGAGTTGGTGGACTGGTGGCGTGCCTCGGTGGCATTTGGTGTCATTCGAAGTTAATTGCTGGGAACGAGCGACAGAGGCCGCCGTACCTCGCTTTTGGCTCTGGCCCGGATTTGTGTCAACTCTTAAGGTTAACCTCGTAATTATGATTGTTGCTGCTGGTGTCTTCGGATTTCCTCAGTTCTTAGTTCTCGATCGTTCCCGCGATTTGAGCGGATAAGAGGTAGTGAGATACTTATAAGGTATAGGGTATTTATGCGCTCACTAATTCGAAATTTTTATAGTTTTGAGTGTCCAGGCTTTACAAGGTTTTGTGCCCATATTTCTAATGTATTTATATCTTCTTTAATTTACTACCCACAAAATATGACAACTGTATTTCCTCAAATATTCTTTTTATAGTTAAGTTTTACTTGAAAGTTTATTTAATTGCCGAGAGTTCTGGATCTTTCGACCGTTAGATCGAAAGGCAGAAACCAAAAGCATTTAACAGCATAGAGGGACCGAAGAAAAGTGAAGATGCTGCCGTGGAGAAAACCTTTTTCTGTCTTCCTACGTTTCCTATTTATTCAGCTTTTTCCCCGCCTTCGAACCTTATTTCCCCCACTTTTCAGGCACCCTTTTTCGAGTCAGCTTTTCTTTGGGGTCCCAAGCCCGCTGGCGTTCCTCGTTTGGCGGCTCTGGAGTGTGAGAAAATGAGAAAATCAAGGCAGCTTCAGATGCATAGATACTCGGATTCAGAGAGAGATGGAATGCTCTCGCCGTCCCGTTCCATAAGTGGTTCCGTCTGGGTTCGGGTCCCGTTAGACCTGGAAAAAAGGGCAAAGCCAACTCAGATACATTTGTAACTGCGGAGTGAGGATCCCTAGGAAAAAGTCAAGCTGGAAATCCGAGTAATGGATTTCGAAACATCGCCAGCTCAGCTTTCGTTTCGATTATGAAATCCAAACCGAAAGAGTGGGCAGAAGAAAAGGTTTCCTTCATGGCTTTGGAGATTTCCCTGGGAAGACTGGCGAGGAATTCAGGTCAAGCGGGCTTAGGAATTTCAGAGGCGAATCTGGGGAGAATCCCTGGCCTGGTAATCTGTAAATAAATAACAAATACGACTCTAAACAGGCAAGAAAGGCAGTGCTTAATTATTCAAATGTTATGCGCAATTTAACTCTTTGTTGGTGTGGCTTATGTTTTTGTTTTTGTCCGTATTATTCAACTGCCATTCGATTTCGTTTCGTGGCGACTCCTTGATGGGCAAGTTGGCCAAGTGGAAAACCAGTTTTAGAATCGGCCAAAACCCAAATAGCAGCCACCATCATCGTATTAGAGAATCCCACGCAGAACGCGTTTCACTCACTCACTCAGCTTTTGGCTAACGAAGTGCACGACTTTGGTCTAATAAAATTAAAACAAAACACACACGTTCACAGAAAGACGCACACATGGGCAGAGGAAAACCCCCCACGCACAGGCACCTCTGAAGGTTGAAAAGCCCAGAGAATACACGGGAAAATACTTTCGGTATTAACCCGATTTCAACAAATCAAATGGGGATGCGAAATATTGACCAATATTTAAATGAAACATCGAATGCTTATGTTGTACAACATCCGGGCATCATTTTTAAGAAATATTTAAGTACTGACGAATTTCTAATTTTAAAGTCAGTTAAGCAATGTTTTTTTTCAGTGCCTGAGAGCGTAAAACAGACTCGCCCTCGCTCTGTGGAGAGTTTCTTAATTAAAAGCAAATTTCATCTCAAATAATGCCGCTAAGGCAGCAACAACAATTAAGCAATTAATTTATTTCAGCTGTGTGGCACTTTGAATAGCGGGAAAAAATCCAAGCCAAGTAGTAAATGGCCTGGCAGGCGGCCAGATCGGATCAAACCTGTTGAATCGCAGAATCGAGGGGCCCCAGAACAGATCTCCGGGCAGTTCCCCTTAGAGAGGGCTTAGCCAAGCGAGTATGCCAGATACTTCTACACTTGCCGTGTTTCACAAGGCAATGCAAATTATCTGGTTACAGTCCAGGGTTTAACGAAAAGGGGTGGGGACGGGGGGTTCTAGGCAACCGAGGGATGCATTTGGATCGCCCTGCTGAATCACTGCGACGGTGATTCACGCCGACAATAAACGTAATTGTCTATGGTTTCCAGCGAAATTAGTTTCTGAACTAATGTAGTCTTGCAAAAAAATAAGTATGGGTGCAAGGAAAGATCAATGGAAGGATCAATCGTATTACTTATTCGAAGGGTTTCGCCTTCCGCATTGATGGATGTATTACATTTATTTCGGAATTCATTTCTTCGCTTATTTCATACATATTTTCTATTTTCGCACTGATGAAAAACTCCGAGGGACCAACTGTTTGTACTTGAAAGCAGCGATTAAGGCTGTCTTTATCATCGCATAAACAGTAAAGTAGAGATAATGGCTTCCCTAGACACGTCTTATCTGCCGCCGAAAGTCTGGTCCCTCAATCCTTTCCCATTATCAGCAGTTGCAAAGTCAAAGAACTCGTTGGGCTAGCGACGTGCCACCAAGATAATCTCGGTTGCTGGGAATTGTTCCCGTTTCCCAATAACACACTTTGATTGACGATCTTTCCCATGCATGCCTAATGATCCTTTAAATGGCGGCTAATAACCCAGCCAACCCCTTTGGGTTTGGATCGGGTAACGCCCTCCGCTCGGGGGTTACCCAAAGTGCGACCCACTCCCAACGGTCGAGATCCCAAGACCCAACCGGCAGTTGACCAGTGGGTTACGTGTGCCACGGTACACCTCAAAAAATAAGATCATATTATTATTTAGCTATGCTATGGATATGATAAAGTTGTATTTAATTCCGTTGGGAACTTTCATAGTTTAAGTTCTTATTAGATTAGCTTTAGCGGATATAAATAATTAACGTTCATATTTAATAAAACTTTAAATTTTCTTTTGGAATTAGGTATAATTCTAGTCCAGAACAGCCTTTTCATTTTGCTATAGGAATCGAATATATGTTCAACAAGTTTCCGAAACTTCTTCTCAGTGCAGGGTAACCCCAGCAACAATTATTCAACTTAAGTCGGTGCAGTGGGGAAAATATCGAATCATTTCGGTTTCAGTTAGACGCGCGCGCGAGCGTTCTCGAAAGGGGGCGGCGGGAGGTAGGGCGGGGCAGTCAGGGGGAGGTCGGGAGGTTGAGCGACCAAGAGAGTCGAGCATACGCGACACGCTTTTCCGATCAAACCAGTTTTCCGTAATAGCTGGCATTTGGAATTAGTTACTGCCGATATATTGCTGCACTTGGAATGCGCCCAGCTAGAAATTCCCGCACCACGCCCCCTCCGCCCCCTGAATGGAGAGTTGACTATTTTTAGCGGGCGGCAGAACTTCATTAAAATGCAATCAATTTGCAAGTGTGGCGCGGAGAAAATAACAAACAAACTACAGCCACTCACTCTCTCTCCCTCTCTTTTTTGGGGGCGGAAAGAGAGAGCGGAGAGATGGCATTTATGCTGAGCAGGCAGAGAGCAGAAGATGGGGCTGAAGAAGAAGAAGCCGCTGCGTCGGCAGAACGAAAACGAGGACGACCAAACTGCATTGTTGTCATATTTCGTAATACGCTGATGCAGCAAGAAGAGAGGGGGGTGGTGGGCGGAGAGGTGGAGCAGCAGGTCACAGCGGTGAGAAAGAGAGACAGACAGATAGAGAGAGCGGAGGAGACTTGATTTCAACACAAGCTTATCAGCGGGAGAACGCGCGCGAGAGAGAGCATAAGGGCAGAGCGCCAACGCAGCGGCGAAATGGAAATGTCAAGTTGGGGCTGCTCGCTCTCTCCCTCTGCCAGCGGCGACTGCGCTGCTCTCTTAACCATTTGGAGCCCATTCAAACGTTCGCCTCTTGCCATTCCATTTCATCCGCTCATCCGTCCACATCCACTTGCGTTTTTGCGCCCTGCGAGAGGGAGAGCCATGTGAAACGGGAGCAGCGAAAAAATACCGCCCACTACCACTACCAATTCCCATATTCCCATATTCCATGCTATCCCCAGCTCAGTTCGTGTCGTGTGATCAAAGCTTTCGGTAAGGCTTCGGCTCGGCTTCGTGTATCCACCTTTGGGGTTCTCTTCGGCGCGGCGCTCGCTCTCTTCTTGGGGGCTCAGGGACAACAAATGCGGTAAAATGGCTTCTGCGTCGACGTCGACATCCCTGGCGTTTCAGTTCTGATTGGAGGTTCGTGCGCGGCGTTTCCTCAGCTGTTTTCGTTGCCTTTTAGCCTGTTTGCCTTTGCCTTTTGCCTTTTTGCATTCCGCTTTTGGCTCCGTGTTCGCCTCGATTGCCAATTACGTGTAACCAACAACAATAACAACAAGAGCACCGAAAGAAACAGAAACAACAACAAGTGCTCTCGAGTGTTGCAAGCCTTCTTCCGTCGAAGAAACCGCAAAACGGATTACCAAGAATCTTCGTAGAATTGGTAAGTGGTGAGATTTTCCACGGAATCGACTTCGAAAAAGGTCAAAGCATCAAGTACTTAAGCTTTCAGTAAGCATGGGAGTTTTCCCATTTGGAGTCCTCTCCTGATTATCAGATAAGGATTTTAATGATTTGAACAAAATAAAAACGTAGTAAACCTTTCCTTGAATTCTTTCCAATTTCGAAGATTTTTTTATCCCACAATGTAGTTTTTGGTTTATTTTTCCTAAAAGATCGCGGAATGGAATTGAAAATATTAGATTCTGCATTTACTTAAACTTAAATATTAAAGATTCCATTTCATCATGGCAGGAAACCCCAGTATTACATGCAGCGATGACGAAGCTACATACTGCTCGGTGTTTATTCCGAATAATTTCGATAAGGATTTTAATGACTATTTATAAGGGGGTCATCGCAGGAGTCAAAAACATTGGGTGACTAAATCGCCGACGAAAAACTTCGAATTACAGATTTAGAGGCGACTAAGCTTCAATAAAATAACCCTAGGGTCGTGCTTGGGATCTGTTAGAGTCTATAAAGCCTCGCAGATACATTTTCTTCTAACAATCTCCCGCTCACAAGCTCATTATTAGTACCAACACACGCAAAGGCCTACGCCTATTGGAAAGACACAGTTTGTATCCAACTTACACAGATAGTACCACAGAAACAGAAACAGCTACAGATACAGATGCACACATACCGTATACGGCACATGGGGAGTAATGCCGCCGCACTAGATACCAGATACTAGATACATAGATACGTCCGCCGCTTATTTGTCGGTCGTGCTTCAGTGATCTCTGTCATTTGCAGTCGCCCATTTCCTTTTTTATCCCCCACTTCCACATCCAGTCGCCAGTCGCCCGCCGCACCCCTTGCGATCAGCCTTCCAGTGCCAGTGCCTTCTGGTGGCTTCCAGTGGCTGGAACACATGCGATGGCCACAGTGATTTTCTGAATGAACCAATGGAGTGACTGTGTGAATGAGCGACTGACTGAATGAATGAGTGAATTGTACGCAAATATTTGCACGGAGAAGAATAATTTTACACAAAAGAAATGACTGGGAAATTGAAAAGTTTGATGAAAAAGAGTCAGCTGTGCATATAATGTCAAAAATGCAATTCTATATGGGAGTTAAAAGGGCAAGGTAAGAACATGTTTTTCCAGTAAATTTTGGGCTACCATGCAATTGGTTGATCAACTTTCTTGGGGGCGGAAGCTCACCTGCCAACCCTGGCCGTGCGGCAACTCTGCACATGCACCTGTGCGCCCCGCCAATCCACAAATTCAATTATGCAAATCGAGATCACAGCCCAAAACCCCAATCTCCGACTCAGATATGCATTTGTTTTGGTTTGGGTGGGTTATTTGTTACTTCTGTCGTTGTTTTCAATTCGCTGGCTAACCCACTTCACACAGTGGTACCAACAACAAAAATCATGAATTATTATTTTGCATTGGGGCAAAAGGAAACGAATGCCCAGTCTCTGATCACACATAAATTTTGCGGTTGTTTTGTTAATGAAACGACAAGAGCAACGACTATTGCTCTCTTTACTATATATCTCCCGCTCTTTGCGAAAGCTTTTTCTGTTTGTTTGCCAACACAAAAACACACTCGTGAACACCTTGCGCTCAGTTGAAATTATGCTCAAATTATAACTGTTGTTTAGCCGGTGATCGGAACAGTTAAAGCAGCAAAGAAAGAGGGGAGAAGAGAAAGAGGATGACATGACTAACAACGCCAAAAGATCAAAGCATTTGCATTGTTGTTGTTCGAAAAACCCAGAAAATAAATCGAAACAGTAAGAGTCCACGCGGCGTATACGCAATATAAGAGACGGAATAGAGAGACAGGGGAGAGGAAGAACTCTCTCCACAACACTCTTTCTAATATTATATGTCCCTCTCTCACTCTTCCTTAAGTACACCGGGAAAAATATTAGTAAGCCGAGATTTTCATTGAAAAATTATATTTTAAAGAATTTGTTATTTAAATCGATCTTTATAGTTTTATGAAAACAATAATTTATTGATACGGTAATAAATATAACAATAACAAATCATCTTAACAAATAAATATTGAAATTTTATAAACATATTTTAGAACTAAAGAAACTTACTTATTTTCTCCTGTGCATCTGTTTCTTGCGCGTGACTCTTTCACAAATATCACTTACATACTTATATCTGCCACTTCTCGCCAATTTCCTGCCCCTTTTTTTGTATTCAGAAATTCCTCGAAACCAAATTCACACAATACATTCCTTGATTATTGTTATTTAAAATGATTTCGTATTTATTTATTTCATTTGCAAGTGCCAGCTGCCAGGCTAAATAAATTTCTGTTGTCTGCTGTTTCCCCGTGTATATTCATGTGGTTCTTATTTCTTCAGCTCCACCCGATACTCCTTTTCTTGATTTGGGGCTTCTGGCGTTTTATGAAATTTTGCTGAATGCATTTCTGATTTGTATCACCTTTGCGGAGAATGCCAGGTATTTCGCTTTCGGGTATCTGCTGCTCCGATTGCCCATCCTGATAGTGCACAAGTCGCGCGTGTACCCCATATATCTCCTTTTTTAATTAGCAATCTGCAGAAAAACTCCGACTACTGCAAAAACCTAAATTCAAAAGTGGAACACAAACAAAAACAGCTCAAAAGTCAGCAAAAAAATGAGGAATCAACGAAAAATACAAAAAACAGAAAAGGTCAGTGACCAAAATATGTTTTGTAACTCAGGCAGAAGTCTTCGCAAAAAGAGAATGGGCCAAAAAAACACTGGGCAAAAGGCAGAAGCCAGAAGGCAGTGCTAACCCTTTGGACTCCGGATATTGTAACCGTTGTGCGAAGTATCTACACTTTTTAGGTGGTATCTTGATTAGGAAGTATTTTGTTATAAAAATTGTATTATTATGTGATTGCAGAAACCAAAAATTTAGCTTACCTCTTCATTTCGATGTTATTCAAAAGAACTGATCGGTATGAAAGAATGAAGGATTTCTGGTGATTTTCCGGCCTTAAGCACGTGGTTAGGCTCATTTCACAATTTCCGCCTGCTGGCCGCAGTTATTTATTTTTTGTGCCGCTTTTAAGCCTTTTGCTCGCCTTACAAACATACATACGCGTGCACTTTAATTCAATTAACGACGTCGGCGTCGCTGCCGACGCAGCTCAATGTCCGCGTCAAGTATACGCCCTGTGGTGCCTGAAAAAGCGAAGAACCGAAGAGCTGAAGAATCACTCACCCACACAATCGGCGGTGCATGTGTTCATCTGCCAGCCGTTTCCTATTTTGCATTCTCCAACGAACGGCCAGCGCAAGGGAAAACACCAAAAAGGAGAGCGGATGGCCAGGCATCCGACTTAAGGCTGCGAACTTACAGTACTTATAGTACCCACACCGATGTGTTTGTGCGGCAAAAAGGCAACATCAGCGAAAAGAAATAAGCACACAGAAATAAGCAACTACGAAATGCAAATGAAATGTAATTGAAAGCGGCGCTGCCGACGTCGCTGCTACCCTTAAGCTTTGCCAGGGGACATTGTCCGTTTGTCCGTTTGTGGGACACTCGGCGGTCGGGGATTGCGGATTGGGGATTGGGGACTGGGGATGGCGGTTGTCGGTTGGGGGATAACGAGCGGGCACAGTGGATATCCCATAGATATACTGTTGGAAAACAAGCGAAGTTCCCAAGGTCCTGACAAAGACTAAACCTACAAAAGGGCCATTTTATTGACTAATTGTATGTCACTTAGTGTCCTATTTTAAGTGAATTCAAGTTTATAGATAACCCTGCTTAAAGCCAATAAATATTACATGGATAAGTAATGTAGCTTTCATAGTTTTCAAAAATGAAGTACCTAATATTAAAAACCAATTTATGGTTTACCTTATGTACAATCCCGCAATCCTTTTTTGCCATAGTCATCGCTTTTGCCCCACTGTACCGCTGGCAGGCAGCAAAGAGCACATGACAATAAGAAAAAAGCTGTGTGTATATTTTAATCCTCTCAAAGAGGATTTTTCGATTGCGGCCGTCGCTGTTGGGGCCATTTGCACACGACACCAACAGCGCGAATGCCAGGGGTCAGGGGGAGCAGTGTGGGCGGGGGAGACGGAAAGGCAGAAAGCAAGCAGCAATGTTTTCCTCGTAGCCTCCAAGGAGCGCAGACGAGGAAAGTCACCTCTAAAAGCAAGCAGCACTCAGATATCCCCACAGAACCACGCAGATACGAAGCACGCAAAGATACACATCGCACACAGATGCAGAGCGCACACAGATACTCACGCACACGGGCGAGCAGTGCGCGATAAGCTTAATTGAGTGCGCAGCGGTGGGTGGTGGGCGGTGGGCGGCGCAAGGAGGAGGAACAGGAGGCGCAGGAGGAGGGGGAGGTGGGAGTCATGGGGATGACACACACACACACAGCATTATCACCGCACGCATACACTCGCTATCACACGGCAGGAGAGCAAGGAGAATGCCGAAGAAATACAAAATAAAAAGTGAAATATGCACGCAGTTGCGACGCCGACAGAGACGCCGGCAGCGACAGCGCCTTGGGGCAGAGGCCCCCAAAACGCACGAAGAGAAAGCAGCACACTGCGTGCTTTTTCTGGGGATACCTCTTAGTCAAGATCCTCGCTGGGGGATATAGGAACGCTAGAAGCGACGTCAAGGCTACCAAAAGATTGCAAACACCCAAGTCTTTATAGCTTACAACAGATACAACACTTAAAATAAATTAAAATAGTTTTTACAACCGAAGGGTTCTTCCATGTTAAAAGCACCATCTAACTAAATCGTGACAAACGGTTGGTTATCCCTCATCCTAAGAATAATGGGTATCTCCCCGATGATTCCTCGTACGTCAATTTATTTCATGTTCTTCTTCTTCGGCCTTTGGCTATCGTTTCCTTTGTTTGTTGCTGTTGCCCAGCCGATCAAGGCGATTCGAAACGTACGATCCTCGGGACTCTCTCTTTCTAG